GTTCATATCACGGTGCTGACCGCGAAATACACCGAAGTAGGTACATCCACAGGTCAGTATCAATGTTACCGCAGTGCACCAGATAGAGATGCTTTACTATCGTTTGGACGATCAGCACCCATAACTACAGACAAATCACCACCAGACGATGTGCGACATCCAACACCTGGAAGTGCATTCATCAGATTGGTCAAATTCCCTACAGGAGATGAATGGGATAGAGATGGTTTCGGCCCTTTCTACTGTGAGGCTTCTAAACCTGATCGAGATGTTACAAGGGTTACTACATTTTTCCAACGTAATGATGGTAAGATAGTTATTCCATTAATTATATTAAGAATAGGATTTCCTCATTTTTCAAAAAGATTTGTTCTTCAAATGTATACTTTAGAAGCTCACTGTAAATTTTCATCAAAGTGCAGTTCTGAGCATATCCTGTGTGAGGGCATTATGATGTCAATTGCAATTTAAGGAGAACAAAGTATCGTGATCGATAATTTTGAAATTCATGAATTGTCCCTTCGAAATCCTGTTTACATGTACTTCAAACCTGGACAGATAAATATGATGAATTTGTATAACTGAATTATCAGAATTAAAGACAATTCTATTTCTTTTGTTTCATGGAAGGAATGTATATTGTGATCTTTAATAGATTTAAAGATTTGTACATGTACATTGACAATACAATGTAATACCTGAATAATCAAAATTGATCACAGTTCAAATACTGAATTGCCAATGAATGCTATCAATTAACATCTTAAGCACTTGATATTAATAGAAAAATGTTTTTTTTTGGGACAGATCAGTAACTACATATTATATCATTAATATGCTTAAAGCTTTGTAAATACGACTGAATAATTAAAATAAATCACAATGAGGATCAGGAGCGAGAGTGATTCAATAAAATGACTTTGCTTATGATGCTTTCACACTCGCTGAAGATTGATGCTTGAGAATGGCTATATTGCAAAGGCTTGATATTTCACATGTATAATGTTGATGAATCTAGAGATTCTAGAGTAGCATTCTGTTAAAAATATTAGCACAAAATTGGTATCACATGCAAAGCATACACAGTATTGAGTTGAGTCTGAAAAAAGTGTTTTGATAGCTGTTGGCCTAGCGTTGATTCACTACAAATCAACTAAACTAGCATGATAGTGCGATACAAGAAACGGACGACATCATGTTCATAATTATGTCTAAACCAAAAACTACATCACAAACATTTGTGTGCGCTTACAGTGTAGCCTTTTCAGCTCACATGTATAGATAATGAAAATTCAAACATATTCTTACAACAAGCCCATTTGTTTTGATGTTGTTTGGTTACATTCAAATGGTTAAAGGAAAGTCCAAACAGATTTTGACATGTACACCAAAATATTTGACATGCTCTAATCTTGGAAATGATTTAATATTGTGATTGAAAAATATCAAGAGAAAAAAATTTATTTCAATATAAATTATGCAATTGAATATATTTTGATATATATTTAAATGCAAGTCTTATACTAGCAGATAGTTTCCTTTAGTGAGTCGCGCTTGACTGTAGGTGCTACATGTACATGTAAGGTCTTAACGTTAACATTTTTTATTTGGTTAAGTTGAATTATCATCCCTTTTAACAGCTAAATTCATAGCAAGTGATGGATTGTTTACAAAGACGGTCAATGTGAATGAGGCCGGAGTGATGATCAGCATGACTAGTCGTTCTAATCCTGATGCTAGTGACAATGTGATTACTTGGATAAAAGATGGAAGTGAAGTTCTTACATCATTTGATGGGCAGACTCAGATCAGCTTCCCAAACCCAATCCAGACATCAGACCAAGGAATATATGAGATCTACTATAATAACGAGAGGGATCAAAATAGAGGAGGAATATACAGACTCATCGTCAGAGGTAATGAATTCAGTTTTATTAAGACTGGGCTTCTTGAGAGGGATCATTTGTTCTCCATGATAATATTAAGCAAATAATTACCGTTGGTGAAGGTGATGGGACAAACTATCACTTCTGAGGCGATCTGGATGTAGCTATCTTTCCGCAATCCGCAGCAAAGCTGAGGAAAGATAGTGATACATTCAGATTGCCGAGGAGGTGATAGTTTGCCATCGCCTGAAACCAAAAGGTGATTATTTGCTTTTAATTCCACTTCGGAAAGATTTCACTTCTTTCATCATTTTAGAGCAACAAGTCATCAATTATTAAACAGCTAGCAAACGGTGTACAAAACGTACAGTGTATGCAGTATGTTGGTGTGACTATAGTTCGTGCGTGACCAAAGTTCACGTACTAACACTAAAAGCGCTTAAAGGTAATACAAAGTTTTGGTATGGGATCATGAACTTGGTTCAAAGGAACATATTGGAAGCATATGCGATCCTACAATACTCAGTGATCGTTGTCGCGGTTAAAATCGAGTTTAAAGTAATGAAATTGTAAATAATAAACTCTTCATGTTGTTTAGCTCCCTCTCAAGGTCAAGGTATTAATTAAGCTATAAAACAATGTTTCTTGACTACAATCGACCAATTTGCTATTCCCGTTTAGAAATTATATATCACAACTACATATTCTGAGATTTTCATGGTCGCAGCTACCATTGAATGGCCATAGGCGCTATTTGAAATTTATCAAAATTTACCGGGAGCACCAGTAAATATTTATATTTAATTTTTCTTGAAAGCAGAAGTGTTTCAGGGGCTAAATTTTTTAGTGCTTATACTACATCCACAGGGGCATCCAAATATATCAAAATTGTAAAGAATCACTATCCAACCAATTATCAACATTTCCCAAAACTTTGTATTACCTTTAAAGAGTAGCAATACACAACGTATGCAATTAAAGTACGTTGCACTGTGTAGATAGTACTACTATCTACACAGTGCAACAAACTTTTCTTCTCCCATCAATGATGGGCGAACTATCTTTCATCACATGATTTACTTTTGACCAATCGTAGAGCAATATTCTTAGTATGTGGAATAATGTTTGTTAATTGTTATGATGCACATCAAAGGTATTGCTTTAAATGTTGCTAAGAAATTGTTATTTTAATTTCATGGGATTATGTAGGTTACATGTGGATGATGATCTTCAAATATATTCATTTATACTTTTTAGTTCATTATTAATGAATAAATGAATATGAACATTTCTGAAAAATGTTAGTTAATGGGCTGGTAGATCGTTGATCAAGTGTGATCATTTTCGAATGGCACTTTATCGTACGATGGACAGCTTGTTTCCCTGTCGTAGTCATTTGGTCTAATCACTCGACATGGAATGTAAAGGTCGTGGGTTCGATCCTGGCATGCACTTATGTCCTTGAGCAAGGCATTTTATCTATATTGCTCCTCTCCACCCAGGTAGGGTGCGTGGTTGGATTAGCATGTGCGTGCCCGTAAAATGGCAACTGGCTGGAATCCTGCCAAATTAGTAGCATCACTACCCCAGTTTCAGGACTCTATTATGATTCTGCCCTTTACAGTGCACACTCCCCACTCCCTTGGCAGCATTCATGCCAGTTGCTTTTTTACAAGCACGTACATATAAAGATCATCATCCATATATAACCTGCATAATCCAATGAATTTGAAATAACAATTTCTTTGCAACATATGAAGCGCTTTGCAAGTTACAATGTACCGGACCATTGTAACTTGCAAAGCGCTACGTTCAAGAACATTATTTTGTAAACAACTTTTCAATCGTCTACTTCCATTTTATTTTACCCTTTCTTCTCTCTTGTTTCACATGATTTTACATAATTGTGTTTGTTGTTGTTGTTGTTTTTATTTCCGTATAATAAAATCAGATACAAATACATATAAAATAATCATACAGAGAAAAAGGGACCGTATACGCCTGGTAGCCCATATTTAGCTGCAACTATAATTGTTGCTGCATGCTGGTCTTCCATGGGGCCAGTTTACAATATGCAAAATATACATAATATTAAAAATTAACAAAATAAATAATTACAAAGTATCAGTCGAAAACATAATACAAATACTTAAAGGAAAAGAGGAAAAAAAAAATTGCTTAGAAAGTAAGTAGGCCTGTATAATTTCATTTCGAAAGATGTTTCGCTCTCTCTATCTCATATTAGAATGCCCGGCTGGTAAGTGGGGTCCCCCCGAGTGTTATGGTATCTGTGATAAATGCTACAATGGTGGAGTCTGTGATGACAAGTCTGGTCTATGTATCTGTCCTAACAACTTCAAGGGACCGAATTGCTTAGAAAGTAAGTAGGCCTGTATAATTTCATTTCGAAAGATGTTTATTTTTATCTCTTAATAGATTAATTGGGGAAGATATTTCTTGTCTTATTCCATTCTAAATGAACAGAGTAATGTACATCCATTTCAAATATTTCTTCTACCTGATGAAGAGATAGAGAAATCAGAATAGTATTATACATCATGTCTTTTGACATGTTTACTATACGTACTTGTAACTCTTCATTTTACCAGGAATTGTTTGCAAGAATGATGTTGATTTATCATTCATCATTCTGTTTTAAACAAGTAGATTTGTGATCTTCTATAATGGATTATCTTTCATGTATTATATTATTAAAAGTCTGTTCAATAACTTAAAATGACTTTGTAAATACTTTGTAAAGTGATCGACCCTCCCTACCAGAGCTGCGGGTCATTTTACATGGACATGCATATACATTGCACATCAAGTAAATCAATTTATAGAAAAAGCATAAAAATAAGATACAGCAGGGGAAATTACTTGCTTTTTTTCCTTATCCCTTATTACCATATGGAATGGTCGAAATAATGTCCAAATAAATCTCCATTATTTGTAAAGAGCATTATAGACAACCTCGGTAATTTGCAAAGGAGAAGCAACCATATTTGAAATTTATCTCATGAAATCTTGATTCAACCATGCACCTATTTTTATTCAGTATGTAGATCTGATGGTGGAAACCGATATGGATTGAACTGTGAGTTTCGATGTTCATATAGCGGTGATGCTGCCACAAAATGTCGTGGGGCTCTTTTTTGCCTACCTGATCCTTATGGATGTTCATGTGACGTCGGTGCCCATGGTCTTGCATGTACCACACGTAAGTCTTCAATATTAAAATAATTGTGCTCAAATTATAATAGTCGAAAATACGTGTATCTAGAAGGCCTAAAAGTTTCCATACGTGTACATCTACAATTCTCAAAAAATTATATTTTTCTTGGAATATCAAAAGCACATTCCATAGTGTGGCTGGATTAATGGGTGAGGTCAGGTGTAACTCAGTGGACAAAAGAAGAAGAATAAGGAGAAGAAGAAGAAGAAGAAGAAGAAGAAGAAGGAGGAGGAGGAGAATGGAGGAGGCGGAGGAGGAGGAGGAGGGGAGGGGGAGGGGAGGGGAGGGGAGTGGGAGGGTAGGGGGAGGGGAGGAGGAGGGGGAGGAGGAGGAGGAGGAGGAGGAGGAGGAGGAGGAGGAGGAGGAGGAGGAGGAGGAGAGAAATTAATAAGAAGTTGTTGTAACATGCCCAATATTTTTCTTTCTGATGAATTCTATTACAGTATGTACTGGTGGTACATATGGTCCAGGATGTTCACAGACATGTCACTGTGCAGATGGTTCATCATGTCATATTTATAGTGGAATATGTTCAGGTGGATGTCAGACTGGCTGGTCTGGGGACAACTGTCAAAGTAAGTCATGGTCAGCGATACAAATAAATAATGTGACATAAATGCTTTCTTACTTACTTGTATACTGTAACTATGAAATGTTTGTTCTGTTGTTAATTTATAACCTCATCGCCTATAGGACCAGGGGCGCCTGCACCATACCCATTTGGAATGAGATAATTCACAATTATATAAGCACTTTAAGTTATTATATTTTCTAATTTTGGAGACATACCCGCACCTACTAGTGGTTTGCGGACGACTCCATGTGTATAATATTTTAATCTTTAATGATAGATGAGATGAATGCTTTCTATAAAAAACATGAATTTATCTAGTGAAGGCACTGTTACATATATGTGTAATAACTGAAATCAATATTGCAAAGAATAAAATAAACGTGCAATCACTGGTTAAGATGAAGAAAATTTTGAAATTAATATTTATCAAAGAAAATAATGTTTGTAATGGAAGCAATCTGATTTGTTTAAAGTACATACAATATTATTTACTAGTACATGCAGTACTTGCTAAATTGTGATTTCTAAAATATTTCTTATCATCCACAGTTCCAGATGAATGTGAAGCCGGTTACTATGGATCTCAATGCGCTGACAAATGTAATTGCTTTAATGATGAACCATGTGATAAAGATACCGGAAGTTGCCCTGACGGGCCTGAGCAGAAGTGTGCTCTAGGATACAAAGTACGCAGTACTGGCCAGGTCCTATGTCAAGGTAAGATTCTACTTTTCAATCAAGGGTGTTGATTTTCCATATCAATTTATATTCCTTTATCTCCAGACTACACACAACATGTACATCACGTATGGTGCTGTGTGCATCATACACCAGGATTGTTTTATGCACACATGTATGAGCACACATAAATCCATGTACATGTATGTATATTGGTCACATCAACGAGATATATGTATATACTGTAGTGCTGTGATTGTAAATACATTATACTCCGGAGGAGGATTCTAGTATACATATATTGACTGCTTTGTTGGGCATGGTTGAAACTGTTGCCCAAGGTGATTTTGAAAATGTACACAGTTCAGTTGATTAGATTATGACTTCCAAAATCGGGAGTCATTATTTGGTGTACGGAACTTTTTTCCTGTCATTATCCTACACTAACCAAGTTCATAGCTTCGACCCTTGACCCAACAGTGACCTTACCCTAAACCTTACCAAAAAACAATTGCGACCCGAACCCTAAACCGTACCTTTGATGAAATACAGCCCAAAACAACTGTCCCAGGAGCAAACGTCTGATAACCATATCCTCAGCTCTATTCTGTATAGCAGAGACAGAGAGAGAGAGAGAGAGCTGTATCCTAGTTGTGACTAAATGCATTGTCTTAGAATAAAGAGTTGCAGCCAGCATGGTGGGCTGTCCACCTGAAAGTAGTAATCAAGAGAACAGCAGATCTAGAGGTGGTCCCTGGACTGCTGGCTGCCATAGATTTCTAGTAGTCCTGGGGCCTGTTTCTCGAAACCGTCATAAGTCTAACTTCTTGACTATCCCATTGAAACATGTGTTAATTCTATAACACACGTTTCAACGGGATAGTCAAGAAGTTAGACTTATGACGGTTTCGAGAAACAGGCCCCAGGGAGTGTTTCACAGTGACTTAGGTCGACTTCAAGTCGGACTTAACTATACTGTTACACATGCGTCGGCTTTTAAGCCGGCCCCGGAGGCGGCCTCACACCTGCAATTTGAAGCCGCCTCGAGATCATCAAACCCCTGTTACACATAATCTCGGGCCCGCAATTTTGTGTCTACACATAGACCGGCCTCACGTCGCCTTTTCACATGCTTACGTTGGGGCGCAGTCCAGAAAGACAGAAAGAGAAAGTGATAGAATGATAAAAACTAAGAATAACATAAAGGAAGGTGATAATGGGGAGAAACAAAGAATAACATAAGAGAAGACAGAAAGAGAAAGTTATAGAATGATAAAAACAAAAAATAACATAAGGAAGGACGGAAAGAGAAAGTGATAGAATGATAAAAACAAAGAATAACATAACAGAAGGTGATAGAAGGAAGAAACAAGAATAACACAAGGAAAGACAGAAAGAGAAAGTGATAGAACGATAAAAACAAAGAATAACATAAGAGATGACAGAAAGAGAAAGTGATGGAATGTTAAAAAACAAATAATAACATGAGGAAGGAAGGACGGAAAGAGAAAGTGATAGAATGATAAAAACAAATAATAACATAAGAGAAGGTGATAGAAGTAAGAAACAAAGAAATACATAAGGAAAGACAGAAAGAGAAAGTGATAGGATGATAAAAACAAAGAATAACATAAGGAAGGACGGAAAGAGAAAGTGATAGAATGATAAAAAAAAAAAAATAATAACATAAGAGAAGGTGATAGAAGTAAGAAACAAAGAAATACATAAGGAAAGACACAACAAAAAGTTGTTGTTACACATACGTCGAGCCGCCTCCGGGGCCGGCCTCAGTCCACTTTCAGACGTATGTGTAATAGGGGTCATATGTCAGGCCGTCCATGCCACTGTTTGCTCTCACCATTTACTGGCGTTTGTCTCTCAAGGGACATACAAATCATGGTCACAAATCTACAGAATTTACATTTGTTGATAATTCATTATTGAAGGAAAAGATATTATCTTAAGATCATAATGGTGAGAGTAACCAGTGGCATGAATGGCCTACCATAGTTAAGTCCTACTTAAAGCTGCGATCTTGGTCTTTATGAGACACCCCTTGGACCTTTACTTGTAAAATTAAACTTAATCAGAAGAACATCAGCCAGAAGAAAAACGAATAATTTCACATGATTAAAACGATTTGATTTTTGTGTTTACAACCCTGTTTCCAGTAGACCTCGACCAAAGTTATCTTTGCCTTTAGTATTCTATAATAATCGTTGACCAGATGTTTCCAATAAACAAGATTTTTGTTTTACTTTTTTCAGAGTGTGAAGGGGGTACCTTTGGCTTGGATTGTCTTCAGCAATGTCATTGTGCTCAAGAGGCTTGCGAGACGGAGAGGGGTCTATGCAAGGGACAATGCCTTGATAGCTGGATTGAACCGTACTGCCTTCAAGGTAATTATAACTAGCATATTGTATTCAGGCTTGTCTCCTTACATTTTCAGCTGAAAAAGGTTCAGATTAAGACCAACCTCAGAGTGCATATGGAGCTATGTGTGCGTGTATTTCATTTCATTTCAATGTTATCCATATCCATAATTGTATCAAACGAATTCATTTTCACTGGCAGCCTACCTTAGCAACACACGGAATTAAGAAAAGACTTAACTCCGTTTCGTTGGCAATCGGCCGTAGACGAAAGACTTCATGCATGGCTGATTGTCAACGAAACGGAGTTAACTCTTTTGACAATTCTGTTTTTTACTACGGCAGGCAGCCAGTGAAAACGAATTCGTTTGATAAAATTATGGAAATGCAAGCACTACTTTAAACATACAGAACTGTGTCACTCCTTGCTCATTTTTCGTGATTGAGGTGTCATATGAAAGGGCAAAAACTCAACTTTCTAGAAATGTGATGTTCTCTTTGAAATTCAGATATCGTCCGCGAAATGACTTTTGAGTTTCCTCTCTTCAAATTTTTTTTTTTTATCACTCATGCGTGAAAAATCAGGTGAGTTGCATCAAATGAAAGAGATGGATCTCAGCTTTCCAAATATGTGTCATTTATCAATTATAAAAGTGACTAAGTTATGATAAAACATCGATAATTCTCGGTTTCATTTTTTCTGGGACGCACTGTATATAATATGAAAAGAAGAGGGCCAACAAGAGAGCCTTGAGGCACCCCACAGGTAAAATTTTTAATTGATGACTGGTTATTTACAGATGTGTATTGAGTTCTGTCTGAAAAACCGTTCAAGGGGCTTCCCTCTGACACCGTAGTGAGACAGTTTAATAAGAAGAATGTTATGGTCAATAGTATCGAACGCCTTTGAGAAGTCTACAAATAAACCGTTCGTGTGGGAAGAGTTATCAATTGCACAAATTATTTTATTAATGAGTTTTAACATAGCATGACTTGTGGAGTGTTTTTTCTGAATCCAAATTGAACATCACTAAGTAAATTGTGTTGTGTAAGGAAATTTATAGTTCGTGAATACACAAGTTTTTCTAACATTTTGGAAAAAGAGGTAAGTAAAGAAATGGCCTGTAATTTCCCTGTTCACGTGAGTCAACTTTTTTTAATACAGGTATTACTTTGGCTCTTTTCATTAAAAAGGGTACGCCACCACAATGAGGTGACCGAGTTGCCATCTTCTATTGCTGCAGACATGTATATTTTTATTCAATGTTCTGTACTTTCGCTGTGATTTTGACAGGGATATCACGGTTATAAGCAATTGGTCATTCTTTCTAATACAAACAAATCCATTCTTTTATTTTTGAATATCACGATTGGTCAATGTTCTATTAAGTACATGTATGATTTTTTTTCCTATAATGTATTCTCGGTGAAATACATAAGGCAAGCAGATTTTGTGTGCAAAATTGTGTGTATTATTTAATGCTTTTCCTTTTTTCCATTTTGACAGGAATATCCAGATTAGTTCCAGTGAGAGTGAACCCATACCAACCATCTAGCTTCACATGTTATGTTGAGGGTATCCCACTTCACGATGCATCCTCAGTTGATCTTTATCGACGTACTGGAAGCACCAATAACAGGACAGGAATCACCAGAGGATCTACCACTGTCTCAGGGTCAGAACGAGCTGTTGTCTTTGATGTTGATAGTGTGTATCCACTGGAATATGGGGAATACGTTTGCTCTCTTACTTTTGAAAGTGAAAGCTATACCAGGACGCCTATTACCAATGCAACCTATGGTGAGCAAATTGTGTGACATCGCTTTACTCAAATGTAATTCTGTGAGATACCTGTTTAATAGAAAGCATGACATCACTCTCTTTAAATGCAGAATCATTCTCAGTCAGGCTCTCTGCATACCGGGTTACAGGGGATGAATAAGTAATGTTGTTGGAGGCTCTGGTTTCTGGACTTTCATGTTAAATGAAGAGGCAGGCACATGCCCTCCCTCTCCATAAAATATCAACCACAATAAAAACAACAACAACAATTACAACAAAAATTGTTTCAACATCAATGACAATCATAACTACACCACAAACCACTACCACAATAACAACAGCCACATCAAAAACAACCATTTCATCAGCAACACCAGTCACCACAGCTGTAACATCAACAACAGACGTGTGTTGCAAAATATGTGTGAATTAGCCTTCTAGTAGTACTGACAAATGGCTGAGCCTAGGGGGCATACTGAATAAACCAATATTTATCAAATGAGGACATGGAATATCTGTTGTTATATTGATACAGTTGTTTGTGCAGGCAAGTCGCGTCATATACATTAACCCGTACATAGGCCCTACATGTGAGTTAATTAATACACTTTATATTTTAATATTTAATAATGGTAATATTCTGGGTTTATGTAACACTTGATACATCTACAATGTCTTAAAGTGCTTTACAATGTATTATGAACCCTGTCATTGTACTCAGGCATGCTCACACACAACGTATGCACATTCTCCGCATCATAATGGTAGCAGCTCTGTAAGATGTCAGTATAGTATTCATGTGTACTTTGGTAAATTTCATATACATATTGACTTGATGGAAGAACCTAGGTGTGTCATTGATTTTAACTGGTATTTCAATAAGTTATATTAAGTATTATTGTCTCTTTTTGTTTTTGTTCAGTTCTACCAGTCATTGAGAAAGCACCAGTGATAATGAGCACCATGTCAGCTACAATTGGTCTTGAATGGAACGCATGGTCTGAAGGAGATGACATAGGTGATCCTCCTCTGGTAGGATATGATGTCTTTGTAAAGAAGGATGGTGACTTGGTAATGAATCAGAGAGTAGACCAACCCATAACATCAGCCATCGTTAGTAACCTGACACCTGACTCAAATTACAGGTTTGGTGTAGCAGCAGTGAGGGAAGGAACAGGTGGAACAGGACCCATGTCTCATACGAATAACACATTAACTCTCTGTAGAAGTAAGTTATTTTGGGGAGAAAAATAATTGAGTGTGTTTGAGTTATACATTTTTCAAACATTTTTGTACAGGTACATTGTTTTTGCATTAGTAATTGATTTGTACATTTATATGTACACTTCAGATATTTATGCACTTTCAATTGATTGAACGAACTTTTCATTAAAATCTTTAACTTATCTAGTTCTATGAGTGAAATCTGTATTATAGAAATGTTTGTATTTCTCATTCCATAATTCTTTTTTTATAATTATTCTACCTGTTTAAAATGTGACGCGGAAAACTTCTTCTACAAAACATGAATTTTCCCTAAATTGTTTAATTATAGTACCCTTCATTGTGTTTTGTCCAAAGGTAGTTTTATGTTTGATTCCTTGACATTTAATTTAAAACCAAATGAAGAGTACTTGTTGTAGCAATGTATGATTTAACCATGACTTGCATGAATTCATCTGCTATAGGTCCAAGCCATTTAGTATCTTCTATATAATTTTAAACTGCAGAACCCAGTGCTTCTCCAACTGGACTACAAGTTTCAGCCATCAACCATAGAGAGCTAGAGGTGACATGGGAGGTATGAACTGTTTAGAATAGCTGTTTTTATCTTGATATTAACATAAGTAAGCCTTTGACTGAAGCAGTTGGATAAAAAGACTCATCCAGAACACAAATGCATACATTTTTGATAGTCATAATTTTATTACAAGGAGGTAGAACTGCATCCTTGTGATATGGAGCTGGTAATTATATGTTTTACCTTGATAAGACTTAATTTTACCTGAAACTTAAAGATAAACTTTAGTACTGGTAATGCGATTGCATTGTGAAAGAAAAGGTGTGGAAAGGATCAGAAACAGTTGATCATGTAGCATGTAAGTATTGGTGTGCACTGCAAGGTTCTGGAGTCATCAAAATCATAATAAATTTGACCGAGTCTTGGTGAAGTAACAAGTACTCACATAGAAAGCTATATATGGGACAACACACATGGTGTCGGGGCTAGTACTACCTTGATTTCCTTGTCTTTCTATGCTCATTACTCAGCCAGTATACATTTTCTTCAAAAATTGTTTGGCACATGTCATTTATTTGTAATCTTGAACATTCAGTGTAAGTTTCGTTTGATTCTGTGAGAATTATATATTTTTTTTTACCAGTACTGGAGTTTATCTTTAATCAAGATATGTGAAATAAAAACGCTTATTTCACCCACTTCGCTATTGATACGTCGTTAACATTCTGGAGGCTTCTGTATGTACCTCTCAACATTTGACTTAACAAAATAATTCCGATTTAAAAACAGGTGTACAAATTTCTCTGTTGCCAGGGGACTAATCAAAATGGAGTTTGATTTTATTTAACAGAAGAAAGTTAATATAGAAATTGTATGTAGTCAAGAGATTCTTGTTCTGCAGAATGCTCCATCATATTGATTGCAGCATCCTCAAATGTGAAAAATTGTAGACAAAATATTCTAACATCTTGTAGTTTTGTTTTTTAGTGTGAAAGTAACTTCTTGTATGTGGTTGTGATGCATGTAACATATATTTGTACCGTTATGTTTCAGCACCTCCCGTCGAAATCAGCAGAATGCAGGAGTGGAGTGACCAATTATATGATCTACTACGCTCCAACTGGATCAACTTCTTCAAACTCTATCTTGGTTCGTAATGACACAAGCTCTTACACGTTAGGAGGGTTGGATACTTATCTGAACTATACCATTCAATTAACTGCATCAAATAAAGACGAGGAAAGTGACAGGAGCAGTGAGACTATCGGCAAAACACTTGAAGAAGGTAAACCTTCATCAGCTAATTAACTTGGATTCTTGAAAGCAAATAGTCTTATTTGTATAGATATAGTAAAATATGTGCAAGGAGGAGGAGGGGGAGGATGAGGAGGAGGAGGAGGGGAGGGGAAGGGGGAGGAGGAGGAGGAGGGGAGGGGAAGGGGGAGGGAGGAGGAGGAGGGGGAGAGGAGGAGGAGGAGGAGGAGCAGATGGAGGAGGAGGTGGGAGGAAGAGGAGGAGGAGGAGAAGGAGGAGGAGGGGGAGGAGGAGAAGAAGAAGGAGAAGGAGAAGGAGGAGGAGGAGGAGGGGGAGGAGGAGGAGGAGGAGAAGAAGAAGGAGGATAAAGAGAAGGAGAAGGAGAAGGAGGAGAAGAAGAAGAAAGAACTTGAAATCCATGCACATTTACACCCTGTCATACAAGAGTATACAAGTATAGACCTTCCTGCTTTCCCTTCACAGTTGCACCTAGTCCTATCAATGTGGCTATACCGCGGAGTACTACAAGCTCCTTCACTGTATCCTGGTCTACCCCTCTACCATCTAACATCAATGGTAACATCCAGAAGTATATCATCCGCTACCAGCAAACTGATCCCGTTGTTAATGGTGACTATACGTCAGAGGAAGTATTGAACGGTGCGTTTGAAGGAGAGCATACTGTGGTAGATCTACCCCGTGAAATCAACTATACAGTCCAGGTAATACATCTATATGACTTGAGAGGTATTTATATACCACATATATAAAGATTCTAGGCCTGTGCTTGGTCAAGACCGCAGGCATAAAAATTGCTATGGACTGCTTGGTAGTATAGCAACAGAATATGAATGGGGATACCTCTATATGAACTTTAGCATACAATGCAAGGATGCAATACAAGCGCATGAACTTAACAATGGATGCACGCAGAAGACATTTATAAGCACTTTTGTCTGAGAATTGACAACTGGAGATGAGATTTTTAGAACTTACAATAAAGGACCTCTGTTGATAGAACATAAAAGAGCATATTCTCCGTTTGGCAATACTCTGTTTATGAATTGTGCCCTTTTACATGCAACTTGAAAGGGCAAAAAGGGTACGGTGTTTAGAAAAAGTACTTACAGTAATAAACAAAACATGAACACAGTAAATTTCTTTTGGATAAGTAACCTGAGATTTGCGCTTACTGGGACGATGACATTTCAAGAAAAAGATCAAATGTATAAATAATTTTTGTTATGATATCAACATTTATTATATAGGTACAGACTGTTAATGTAGCTGGTTCTAGTAATTGGTCAGAACCTGTGAATGCTAAGACGATACAATCAGGTAAGAGCATTATAATATGCTTATCAATGTTGTTTTCATACATGTGTATGTAGCAGTGATATTAGGCTTGCTTCGAACATTAGAATGAACCCATTCCAATATTTTGAACACCATTGCCGGTCCTAGGACACCTACCCCGTAGACATCCAACCCCGGATAACCACCCACAGTCAACTACCCCCTAGAACAACTACCCTCAAAGGCAACCACCCTATATGACGACTACCCCCTAGGACAACTACCCCCGGACAACTACCACCCGGACAACTAAAACCTACGAAAACCATCCTCTAGGACAACTACCCCCGGACAACTATCCTAGGGGGTTGTTGTCTGGGGGTAGTTGTCGTAGGATACGACCATTGCAAAATTAACTCAGGGCAATTTCAATACCTGTTGGCACATCCCAAATAAAAGGTGATCGGATTATGCAATGCTTCATTGCAATGTTCAGACGTTTCATGCCATCGGATTTTGCTCGATACGAGGATGAGCTTTCAAAAGTCTCTGCGATTATGTTCATAGAAGGTTAATAACAAGGTATCATAATACTACAACAACTTTTCTAGTGACAACTACCCTCGGCCATACCCTTACAGATGTGAAAATGCTCTCTATTTGTACTGTCCAGCTAATTGACACACATCGGGGTCCTCTGGTAAGGTTTATTGGTTTTAATCTTTTCATACATTCATTTAAAGTGTCAAAAACTGAAACACAACCGCGACCGTTTTATGCGATTTCCTCTTACTAAAGCACGCGTACTCTTGAAAACAATGCTATGCGTGTAATCAAACTGTCGAGAGGGAAGTCCAGCCTGATATTAAGTTGGTTTTAATGGAAGCAGAAAAATGAGAGGGACGGGTCAGTGAAAGTTTGATCGAATTCCGATTAAAAATAGGAAAGTTATTAATTATTGAAGTTGCAATTAATCAATCCCTTCGCTATTGATGGCGAAACAGATTCTTTTCCATACAGGGGTTGTATAAAAAACATATTTGAATAAGTGAATTTTCTTGGGGAAAAAAACGATTTCTGATTTCATTCTTTTCTTCCGCTTGATCCCAAATGAAGGTCCTGTGCCAACACCAAGTTCTATAGCATCGGCAGTTGGGGGAGCCGTTGGCGCCATTCTGATCATTTTGATTATCATCATTGTAGTCATTATCGTGTTCAAACGACGAAGGTTCGTGAGCTATTTTCTATTTTTCAGTCATCATTAAACATTTCCATCTACAATGTTATCACTTACTTCTACCGTAATTACTTACAGTAATCTACTGTAAGTACTACCATATTCTTGATGAAGTGGAAACATGCTGATGTACGGACTTTAAGAACAAGCAGAATAGGAACATTTGAAAATCTGATAATTTTCTATTCCTCTCTTCAAGGAATACTCTACCGATGAAGTTATCCTAATAGTTTGATAGTTACCAGCTCTCGTAAATTTCTCTTCTGATCACGTATTGTTCGCCTTTCGTCATTTTGTTCTCTTTAAAGGAATAATAGTCATCCGTCTAAACAAAAAAACATCGAGGACCAATTTCAGGCACCAGTTGATTTCCAAGACACGCCATTAGAAGGTAGGCCTATTATTTGATTAGTGTTAATATGATCAGGTAGAAATACTATAATCCTCAAAATAGCATGGAACGACGATGTTAATGGCAACAAAGAGACTACATATTCTATTTTTCTAACCCCATAGAATTCTTACAATTCAATTTAATATGCCCTACCCTGATTCATGATGTCACGAACAAGGCAAGTTTTTTTGGAGAAGTAAAAATGAATCAAGTGTAGGGACATAAGGATGTATTTGGTTATTTGCTGTACATGGGCTGATTCTGCGTTGTACCACTTTAGGACATTTCCTCCTCAAAAAAAGGGGTAAAATTGACTTTTTCTATTTCTGTATGTATCCTGTCAGAAAATAAGAGTGGGCACGCCTCTGTTTTGAACCCAGACCAATCACCTCCAAGGAGCACAAGACCCAAACCAGCTGTAGCCGTCAAGCCCTTTGTACAGGAAACTAAATCCTTAGACCTCGATTCAACCGATGGATCTCCTGACAGATCTAGCAACAAACCTCTTGGCACACGTCAACCATTATCCCTGGCTCAGTTTCCTACGTTCGTCAACAAGAACAGACACACCACGCTCTTCTCCGAGGAATTTCATGTAGGTTAAATGAAGATTATTTCTATCAACAAGAAATATGTCTTCTTTTTAAGCTTTTGCGTTTGAGAAATTCTTTTGGCACTCCAATGTGCGCTACTCGTAGACGACATTGTGTTGTTGAGAACACTGGGTAGCAATCTCTCTGCAGTGTGCTCGTTCAGCCGCTGATTCATGAACGTGGAGCCGTTCGAGACTCATTATCCTTAGATGATATTTTTAGGTTCATGGTATGACTAGTAACGAAACATAACAATTCATTTCAGAAATATATCGCCGAGGGCATTACAATATTTATTTTCACCTTCAGCCACTCCATATTAATTTTCTCTCTTCTTAAACGCGACTTTTCATTTCATACTGCATCTAATCAAACTGATGTGATATTAGCCGCCTTTTGTTCTATAGTCTCGGATACTAGACTTCATCTTTGTTTTGTTGCGTTTTCTTATTATATTATTATATGCGAAATTTGAAACAATAAACTGAAACTGAAATTATATTTCCTTTCTCTCCTAAAGGACTTACCTGGCCCAAACATCTATCCTCAGACCGTAGCTCAAGAGGAGATCAACTTCAAGAAGAACAGATACAAGAATATTTTACCATGTGAGTTTACAAAATAACGGGGCCTCTATTATGTTGACTTGTTAGGGATAGCTATAAAAGTTTGCATCAATGAAGCTCCAGTGTACCAATGTATTTTCTGTTGTATGCGTTCAGTTCCATGTCATAATTCTTTATTTATGAGTTTTTAATAGAGTTTCTGTAAAAATATGATGCAAGTTTAATCACACTCTCAATACAAAAAAAGTAAAAGAGTTTTGTCCGTAGTCAAATCTCGGCATTTGAAACCTTAATAGTGCTTTTGGTTTTTAATGTTCATTTCAATTTGCTATAGACTGCTTAATAATAAAAACGACTAAAATGACTAAACAACGAACTTTACCTTAAAGGTACTATGTCCCTTTTGCAACCAACATCAAATTGTGTAGAACTTTGCAGGAATTATGAATATGTCATGTTTGTCCTATCTGTGAAATTTAACCGTTAGCAGTGTCCTAGTATTCAAATTATGCAGGGAAACCCATTTACTTTTAGACTTCCCTGTCAGACACTATTGAGTGACTGACTGAAATCTTTTTATCTTTAGCAATAACATACATAAAATGAGCTGCAACAGGTACATGATCATTTGTCTACATCAATAACCAACTACTTGAAATGGCCAAAGTTAAACTGATTCAATCTTTGTGCAGCACAAAACGTACGGACATTCGGTACAACAGTCTGAAAATCAGACTATTGTTTAGGATATCGCCATCACTTATGTCGATTCGACAACTCATGGTCGTTATTTTCCCAGACACAAACCAATCCTTTTTGAGGGAAGTTCTAAATAAGTATTGTCTTTCAAATGCCGTTGGAATTTAACCTTTTCATTTTTTGACCTTCAAATGGGACATATTAAGCAACTGGCTGACTTGATTTTGTTCATATCCTATCTTTCATCCAGATGATTCGGTGAGGGTGAAGTTAGAAGTCATCAACGATAATCCTCATTCCGACTACTTTAACGCTTCTTACATTCCCGTAAGTAAGATGGCATGTATCAATTTATCTATACATTAATTTATACATATATTGTCATTACAATGTACTTTCATTTTAATGTTATAGAGTGGGTTTTCGTTGAATGAAGCTTCCAAAAGGAATGATATGAATCAAATAACGTGATATTTTCATGGGTAACAACAAACCGTCTAGTTCTTAATACGGATAAGACAAATGTGATGCTTATTGGATCACGATCAGTTCTTAACGAAGTAAATGATTTTTCTGTCACACTTAACGGCAGCTGTTTGAAAAGAGTAAAAGTGGCAAAATGCCTGGGTGTCATGATTGATGAGGAGTTACGTTGGACGGAGCATGTGGAAAAAGTTATTAAAACTGCTCAAAGAAATATCAGTGTAATTAAGCGAGCCAAAAGTTATGTTCCAACGAGATCTCTAAAACTTCTGTATAATGCCATCGTACTTCCTCATTTCGATTATTGTTCCTCGGTGTGGTCTGAGCGATTTCAAAGACAAACGATTAAATTACAAAAGGTTCAAAAACGAGCTGCACGTGTAGTGCTGGGAGTAGGATTTGACGTATCTTCAAATGATATGTTTAGTCGCTTAAGATGGATGCCTATTCAGACACGTTTCCAGTTTGGACGTGCAGTGATGATGTATAAATCATTGCATAACATGGCACCAACATACTTAAAACAAGATTTACATCATGTTAGTTCACTACATGATCACAACACAAGACATGCTGTAAGGGGGATGCATTGTGTGTACCCAAATTTAGGACGGACACTTATAAAAATAGTCCTCTAATTTCTGGAATTAGAGTATGGAACCAACTTAAAAGTCCTGTCAAAATATCACCTACTTTGAACAGTTTTAAACACGCTCTAAAAGCCCTGTTATCTGTAGATGACGTGTAAGTGAACTTTTGGTGGTTTCGTGCAAAGGTAACCATTTTTTTTCCTATTTGCAAAATTATGAAATTCGGTTGACATGGTTATCGTTATATCATGTATTCATACATGTAATGTATCCATTTTCAGCTATATTGTAGACAACCTAAGTGTATTAGTTAAAGAGCAATTGAATGTAAATATGTATATAACAATTTTGGTATCCCGTAAATGAACGTTTTTAAAAAATTGTACTTAATTTGAAAATTCCATTCACCTATTTCTTGTAAATGATCAAGGATGATTCGTGAATGATCAGTTATTTCAAGGGGATACCAATTAATTTGTATTTTACCTGTTTATATGCTTGTGTATTTATCTATGTTGTTATTGATATGCTGTTATTTGTTTGTATTATTACCAAACAGGGCCTCATGGAAGACCACCAAATTGGTGATATGTGCCACCCTGTATAAATATCAGAAATAAATAAATAAATAAAGTAAAAACCCGGTACAACATTGTTATATTAACAGGATGTAGCATGAGTTGATGGACTACATGAAGTAGAATACACGTTTTGTGCGCTGGATCTTTACACAATCCAAACACGCACACACACACACACACGCACGCACACACACATACACGCACACACGCACACCGCCACACCCACACACACACATACTCACGTACAGCACACATGTAATGGGAATCCCACCATCGGTTGAAGCTGCAATATAATTCCTCATATGACTTGAATTTTCTTGATCTTCTTTTATGTTCGATTAAAGAACTACAAAATTGCCTACGGGGAAAGCAATGCTGTAAATAGAGACCGTCATTTTCCTCAAGCCTTGACACATGTATAGTTTCATTTTGATCTACTTTTCATTATGTAAACTATTTTTTTTCTTTTTTTCTTCACATACAGAGTTTTGACAATGACAAGGCTTACATTGCATCACAAGGTATGTCCATGCTAATTTTCCGTTACGTTTAAGAAGTAGTAAGTTATAAATACAATTTGTAAGACGTATGGATTTCGGTTACTATATTTCAAGTAAATGTTTTTTGTATAAAAACACAAAAACAGACAAGTCGTCAGTCGTCATTCCCATAAAGCAATTGAAACATTGATTTACCGATGAGCCATAATTCATTACATTTTCAAGGACCCAACAAGGCCTCTATGGATGATTTCTGGAGGATGGTCTGGCAGGAGAATGTGACGACTATTGCCATGGTAACGAAGCTCAAGGAAGGAGATAAGGTCAGTCAATAGTATTTTCACTAAAGTCAGTTTGATTACTATTTCAGCTTTAATATTTGTCTTAATGTGAGTTCTCAACACTTGGATTGCTAGCATAAATTTTCATGAGAGTTGCCAATGCTTTTATCTAATATCGTTTCAAAATCTGTTTTATTTTAGTATGAGGGTCATCACTGGACATTCCTGACCACAATCGCCATAAAAACAACGTGAATCTCAAATTATCCTGATACTCCAATTCATTAATGACTGAATTTGTATCTTAACGTTTACACAGATTTATTGATCGTGACCCCGGATAAACACCAACAGCTTTTGAGAGACCCTTATTCTATACTCTATGCTATAAAATTGAACATGAAATTGATATAACCCATGTAGTTAAACGCCGATATTTACAGAGTGACGTTTTCAATGCTTAAAAAGGTGTTGCTCAATGCAGATAGTACAAGTAGTTTTCTAGGAAAGACGGATAATTAAATAATTATACTATGGCTTAGTCGTAGTGGAGTAGTTGAAGCACTTGACATGAAATACAAATGTCGTTGGTTCGATCCCCGACACCGGCACTGATGTAGTTGGCAACTCGTTATTCTACATTTCTTAATCCATATCCAGGAGAGAAATGGGGACCTGGTGAGATGATGAACGCCTTTTTTGTGAGTAATTGCCAGATGCCCTCATGATGACCATAATTATGGTAGAAATAGTCGCCAAAAAGTGGAGATGGTGCCCATTGTGCTTGAATGAATCTGATAAACAGGGTATTGATATTTGAGAAGCGCTCAGAGACGGTATTTATATCAAGCGCTAAATAAATCCAGGTTATCAAAATTATTAATATTACACAACAATCATAATATTTCTGCTCCAGATTAAAGCGTACGGTTCTTTAATCTGATTATTTTCTGTTTGGTTGCTTTAAATAGATCAAATGCGGTAAGTACTGGCCTAATAAACCAGGCGATTCGGTGAAGTTTGGAAATATCAGAGTGGAACTGGTGTCACTGGAAGCATGCACAGGTGGAATCAAAAGGACAATGACGATGATAAAGGTAGGTAAATAAGTCATCTGCATATGCATTGCTACGTCACATTTCAGGAAGAAATTCATGATCTCTTCAATTACCATGAACCAGTCGAATTATTTTAATGAATATGAGTGAACCATGCGCCCCCCCCCCTTGGACAATATCTATGAAAACGGTACTTCAAGTTTAGTCATTCATAGAAGTTCTTTAAAGTTACTTTATCAATTATTATTTCATGGAGTTATTTTAATATGATTCATGCTTTTTTGCTGAGCTAAGTTCTGTGCATGGAAACACTAACTAAAATTGACACCATTGACAATAAAACGGATAAATATCTTGATAATCTGTACAAAAGCTGACTTATCATTTAAATTAACTCATTTTCACTGTTCATGACATTTGTTGATCTCCTAACTATAGGATGAAGAGTTGAGGACCGTCACTCAGTTCCACTTCACAGAGTGGCCTGACAAGGGTGTTCCTAAACACACCTCATCACTACTCAAGTTCATCAAGGAAGTCAAAGCTGATCATGGACAGTACACTCATCCTCTGATCATACATTGCAGGTAGGCTTATTGATCAATTTCCCCTAGAAAAAAAAAATCATTGTAAAGACCTTCAAGAATCAACTCTACTTGTGATACTTTTTTGTATTGATTTCAGAAATCACGTTCGGATTACGTAATGCTCGTTATAAGAAATACTAAAATAATCAGAATATAAGAGATTTCAACAGTTTATCTTAGCCGAAAAAAAGCTTCCTAAAATAAGTTTGTATAATAATCGGGCTTTACTACAGCGAAACCTTGGTTCCCACACTGACTTTTATTTTGTCGTTCAATAGCTGGTGTGCTTGCAAATCAACAACATGACTGATTAGTTGATCATTATATTTTCTATCCAGTGCTGGTGTTGGACGAACAGGCGTGGTGATCAGTATCGATAGCGTCGTAGCTCATGCCAAGACAACTAGAATGGTAGATGTCTTCAACTTCGTGACGAACATCAGACAGAAACGACCATACATGGTCCAAACACAGGTCGGTTACCTCTCAAAACATACTCCAACTGCTCCAAACTTTTCGGTTTAGACACTGATAGGACCGACGGATTTCAACGTAATGTGTTTTTGCAGAGATTGGCATTTGATTATTCTACGCGACATAATGGCATTTACATGTTAACAACATTTTCTTTGGTCATGCCTGCTTTCTTGATTTTTTATACATACTTTGTACGTATAATTTGGATTTTGAATGATTAAAAAGCCCTTTATCAAAATGAACGCGTTGAACATATTTGGTTGTTTCTTCGTTTTGTCGTTGATGTAAAACAGGATATTCTCAAAGGGAATGTGTTCAATATCAAGTACCTTATAAAATTAACATAGGGCACGGCTTGTTCTAATTTTGAATTATGATCTACATGTTCCGTCGTATGAGCCGTAAAAATAAGAGATATCTTAGTGGATGAGATGGAATTGATAAATGAGATTTAAAGCTGTCGTTCATTACATGCATACAGGAGCAGTATGCCTTCATCTACGGGGCTGTCCTTGAGGATCTTCTCTGGAGGAATACCCTGATCCCTGTCGTACATTTCACTGATCATCTACAAGACTTACACTCTTCAGGCGATGGACGTGGACGGTCCAAGATGACCAAGGAGTTCCAGGTAACGCATCCCAATCATTAGTTCGATAAATAATGAATGTCTACTGACAGTAACGACTTCAGTTCTCTCTCCGGTATTCTACAAGAGCAGGACCACACCAGAACTTTCTTTAGTTCTGTCTCCATCTCTCTCTCTCTCTCTATATATAGCCTTCTTCTTCTTTAGCTGTAAAAATGAACAACTTCTGACCTTGATCATAAGCCATGTAATGGTTCCAAGTCAGTTCATTGTTCACTTTCCTCTAGAAAACCTGAAAGAGAGAGAGAGAGAGAGAGAGATGGATGGGGCATTATATCTTAGTTTCAACGAAACTATTTGTCAGGAATGGCCTCGGCCCAGTGGAAACAACTCATGGAGAAAGAGAAAATATCCATATTACAAACCAGCTCTTGCGCTCTTAAAATGGAAATGTTAGGGATGTCGTGATCCGTCAAAGATAAACTCCAGTTCTGGTAAAAGAAAGAAAATTAATTCTCACAGAATCAAACGAAACTTACACTGAATGTTCAAGAAGTTTTGGAAGAAAATGTATACTGGCTGAGTAATGAGCATAGAAAGACAAGGAAATCAAGGTAGTACTAGCCCCGACACCATGTGTGTTGTCCCATATATAGCTTTCTGTGTACAGTGCTTGTTACTTTGCCAAGACTCGGCCAAATTTATTATGATTTTGATGACTTCAGAACCTTGCAGTGCACACCAATACTTACATGCTACATGATCAAATGTTTCTGATCCATTCCACACCTTTTCTTTCACAATGCAATCGCATTACCAGAACTCACCTTTATCTTTAATCACTGAACTGTAATTCAAATGAATTGTATTTTTTCGAATCCCACTCGCAGCACTATCTAAACTTAGGTTTAGTGAATGAGTACCTACTAAGAAGTAACAGTAATTTCTTGAATGCTTTCAGAACCTTGAGACAGCTAGGCTAAAGCCAAGATAATAATGTGATTCTGTTAACACCTTGAAGATCCCTTGGGTGGATAAAATGCGCAGAATGAACGTAGCTAATATTAAAGTTGAATCTTTATTTCTGCATGCGCGAAAAATATGCCAGAACTAAGGTTGATGATTATCAACGTAATTCGTGATGTAAACTAAACATCATATTTTCTGATTAAATCAGACTTTGAAGAGCCTCTGTCCAGATCCTCCGGCTTCTCAAACGAGATCAGGACGCACTCGAGATAATCACCCCAAGAATAGATACGGAAACAACCTACCATGTAAGTAATGTTAGGATACCAACAAATACACACACACACACAAACACATACACACAATTTAAACCCCGGCATTTTCGTCTATGGACATAATATGTAAATCATAGATTCTTGACAAATGAGAAGTAGAACGCTGTGGTGAAATGTATGACAATGTCGTGAGCAAATGAAATAACACCAAACGGGGATCCCAAGATTGTCAGGAGACGGTGCAGTTAAGGCTGGAATGGTGTAGGGGTTGGGGATACTCAAATCTTTGAGTCCGTTAAATTCAATTCGAAGTCGGAGAGGTGATATCACATAAGATTTGCTCCTAATAATAATAATAATAATAATAATAATAATAATAATAATAATATGTCTTGTTTACCCAGGGTAGCCTCATCAGTATTTATACTGTTCTCCCTGAGGGCCCTGCAATCATATTATTACCCCGGTCATCGGATTTAGACTTACCTAAAATCCAATATCGCTATCAAACAATATGAAAGACTACTCGTACTTGTTTTAGTGTAAATGTTGAGTTGTAGTGTAGCGTAACGCTGTTTGAAATGTTCTTTAAATTTGTTTCCATACCATTCTAGTGCAGAGGAATCGTGTGATACTAGACTCCCCAGATCATGATTACATCAATGCTAGTCAAATGAAGGTGAGATGTTCATTCAGTATTGATTGATTCAATTTACACATGTAATTTAGTGTCAGAAAAACTGAAGGATTAAATGACATTGAAACCGTTTACATCTATATTTGACTCGTGTTAAACATAAGAAACTGTAGATGCATTGGGCGTTGGCAATAACCATGGAAACATAATGTGCTAATAGAGGTATCAATATGATTGATAATTAGCACACAAAGTATGTGTTTGTGTGTCCTATCGTACTTTAGTGACTTGTTTTATTACGAAAGCTTCCAAAACGAATTTGATAACGGTAAAATGCGCGGTAATACATTGATGGGTGTCATAATTCTATATTTCAATAAAAGTGACACTGTGGATCGATTCATACCCATTAAATGTACCCGCACTGTCGCCATTATAATATAGAATGTACTATGAAAGATATTATATAAGAATTGTTACGTCTTTTATTAACTATGTTGGAATAAAACTTGATTGATAATCATGTACGGGGTGTAGGGTGGGGGTGCAGTTCATTAAGTGAGCCCCTCTCCGCCTAGGGTGCCATGCTTCGAATATACTGACAGCTCTTATAAAGCCTTTCATGACAATGGAAGTAGGTGACAAGGGTCTCATGTTGTTATCGGATATTGTATTTATTCTTCCCTCATCTTTCAGGGGATCCACTGTACATTCATGACAACCCAGATGCCGCTGCCAACCACTGTGTCTGATTTCTGGTCTATGGTCCTCGACAATAAACCATCCACTGTCGTCATGCTTAACGACAAGAGCCAAAACGACAAGGTAGTAATGCGATAACATGTACATTTTGAAATAAATTGTCTCAGTTTAAGTTTGGGAGGTTCAAAGACCTTGCTTTTTTGTATTGCTTCTTTTGTATTTTTGATACGAAATAATCCATATACTTAACATGATAAATGTTGAATTCCCATCGGCGGCGCAGAAGGGAGGGGGTACCGGTCCTTTGTTTGAACAACCCAATTCGAGCTCCTCCCTGGATTAATAGTGTTAGTAGTAGTAGTAGTAGTAGAAGTAGTGGTACAATACAGGAACCAAGTTGCGGTAGAGGTTTACGGTACACCATGTGTAAAGTCCTAGAAGGACTAAGGAAAGTGGATAGAAAATAGAGGTGAAATAGAAAGGCGAGAAAGTGGAGGTTGGAAGGAAGAGTATCTTTCGGAAGTGAGTATAGTCCTGAAAAGGACTGTAAACCAGAAAGTTGTAGATAGGATGAGAGGTTTGAGTAGAAGACTGGATTGAGTTGGAGAGTTGAGTTGAGTTGCAGAGCAGGAGCGTAGACTCGACGTTTCGGACAGGTTGACTGTCCGTCTTCAGGAGTGAGTGTTCGCTAGTGTGTGTGTGTAATTGGGTTTTTACAGACGTGTATCAATCAGATATGATTATTTACGTCTGGGGACCGACCTTTAACGTCACCATCCGAAAGACGTGACTCAGCTTCGAACCTGCGTCCACGGCTGAATCAGTTTGTAACTTCCACTTTTTAGCTGGATTACAGGCGCACGCCACAACGCCTAGTTGTTGTTGTTGTTTGGTATTATCGGCGTTTCATTCTTTTTTAGAATATTTACGCCTTTCACTTTATTTCTTTCTTTTTTTCTTCTATATTTTGGTACTATTTGTAAATTCATACTCATCTCTTTTTTTTTTTTTTGGATAATATAATCTCAGATCTACTGGTCCATGAAAACCCCTCACCGCAATTGGCACCTTCCTGCCAGACCGGCGCGGTACATTGCGCAATCTTCTCGGCCATCATTGGCCTAGGCAACTCTGGTGCCGGTGAGAGGATTCTGGGGTAGATCTCCAGAGTCTCTTGTTTGGGGTTTACCGTCCTCAATCCGTCTTTACTCTTTCTTACCTTTTCTCTTCTAGTATTTTTCCATTTTGTAAAACCTTATTTTTCTATCAAAGTAGGTATCAACATCTTAGGGCATTTGGTTGTCGTGCGATATGTGCAAAAAAAAAAAAAAAAAAAAAAAAAAAAAAAAAAAAAAAAAAAAAAAAAAAAATTAGGAACACTCGAAACGCCTCGTTCTACGAACGAAGCGGATCAGTGCTCTCTGGGTCGCACTTTCTGTTGATTTTAGGAGTTTCATAATTTCGTTTGGGCTCGTTATATCACTTTCCATTATCAGCATTGCTCTTTCTATTGTATATGTTGGACATTCCATCAGATAGTGTGTTATTGTTTCAGGGGTGTTACAGTATTTACAATTTTTGTTGGCTTGGCCAGGTTGGGTTGTTTGGGATACCCATACTTTTGAGGGGTCTGCGTTTAGTCCTATGTTGCAAAGTCTGAGCCTACGAATTATGACTTCGCAGTCTCTAAAAAGGGTGCTCTCAAAGTTATGTTGAATTGTTGGTTTGAAAGGTCTTACGTTTGTTTTATTGTAATTTTGCCATGTTTCTTCCCAACTCTTGTATAGTTCTATTTTCAATACTGCTTTCATTTCAGACAAACATAGCTTGTTATTTATTTGTATTTCTTCAGTTAGGGCTTGTTTTGCGAGAAGGTCCGCTATTTCGTTTCCCTGTATTCCACAGTGAGAGGGGATCCATTCTAGATGGACTTGAATGCCTTTGTATGCCAGTCTTGTGTATATATACTTGATGTCGTTTATGAAGTTATCTGACTTATCTCCTTTCATTGATTGCATTGAGAGGAGTGCGCTGAGGGAGTCTGTGAATATCACAACCCCTGCGTGCAGGTTTAGTTGTTCAACCCATAATAGGGCAATTGTTATTGCTGCTAACTCTGCTCGGTAGCTTGAGGTATGGTCTGTAAGACGTTTAGATTGTCTTATTGAAAAATGTGGGACAAAAAAGGACGCAGCTGCTGTGCCTGATGGGGATTTTGAGCCATCCGTATATATATGAAGGCTGTTATTCCATTTTGATTTTATGAGTTCTATGCTTCTTAGTCTCATTTCACTCGGGTTATCATTTTTTCTTATTGATTCAGTTAGTTCAATGGATATTTGGGGAGTGTAGTTGTGCCAGGGGGGGATAGGAAGTGGTATGACTTTTTCTATAATTGAGTCTATTATTTTTTCATTTTTTATTCTCAAACCAAAAGGTTGTCTCACTTTTTTATTCTTTAACTTTTCAAATTGCCAACATGGTTGGATGTTTGGTTTTAATGGGTGGTTTGTCACACGGGAAAGATGGACGTGATACTTTTCTGTCAGCATTTTCCTTCTTAACTCAAGAGGGGGCTCGTCCATTTCCACCTGTAGGGCGGCGAGGGATGTGCCGTGTAAAGCACCTGCACATATACGTAGGGACATGTATTGCATAGTGTTTAAAACTTTTTTGGAGCTTTCGCTTGCCGAGTCATATGCCTCGCACCCGTAGTCTAGCATTGATCTTATTAAAGATCGATATAGCATCAGTAATGTTTTTGTGTTACTTCCCCAACTTGTATGAGCGACGCTTTTCAGGATATTAATTTTTTTTCTACATCTGTTTCTGATATCTTGTATATGGGTATTCCATGTTAATTTTTTATCAAACGTGACGCCAAGAAATTTATGATTTGCTTGGAATTGCAGTTCTTTTTCTTTAAGTTTTATTACGGGGAGGTTTGTTCTGTTGCTATTGCTGAAGAGCACCGGGGTACTTTTATTTTCGGAGAGATTAAAGCCCCTTTGCTCGAACCAAATTTGTAGGTTGTTTAAGCAATTTTGAATTCTATTTACTATAAAATTAATGTTAGGTCCTGAAGTCCAAATGGCGCAATCATCTGCGTATAAAGATATGGAGACTGAGGGGGTTGTGGGAATTTGACAGAGCATAAGGTTGAACAGGATTGGACTTATGGTACTACCTTGCGATAGACCGTTTTCTGTGTTGTTTATGTGCGACAGTGTATTTTCTATTTTTACCTGGAATGTTCTATTTCTTAGAGAATCGTTTATAAAGTTTAGTGTTTTACCTCGTATACCTATATCATAAAGATTTGATATCAATCCGTCTACCCAAAGTGTATCATAAGCTTTTTCTATGTCGAGAAAAATGGCGACTGTATGCTGTTTAATGGCTATGTTTTTCTGTATTTCATTTTCTAAACTGACGATACTATCTGTAGTGCTTCTATTCTTTCTAAATCCTATTTGGAATGAAGGGAGTATTTCCTGTTTTTCGATGAACCACTGTAGTCTTACATTCACCATTCCTTCCATGATTTTGATGAAACAAGCTGTGAGTGCAATTGGTCTATACGATGATACTTTATGAGGTTCTTTGTTAGGTTTTTTGATTGGGATAATAATTGAGTGTTTACATTGCCTTGGAATTTGCCCCGAGCTCCAAATTTGATTTATCAAATTTAGCATGGTCTGTTTTGCTGATTTCGTGAGTTTTTGGTATATTAAATATTTAATCTTATCGTGTCCGGGGGTAGAGGAGGAATTTTGACGTTCGATTGCTGCTTCTAATTCTGATAGTGTGAAATTGTCGTTTAGGACTGAGGGAAAATTTTCTGGTTCTTTATTTTTAATTTTCTCTATATTATTTGCTACGTGAGTGTACAGTTGGGAGCTAGGGTCAACTTTGTGTTTAGTTACGTAAGTATAATCTTCAGCTATCTTGTTGACCTTTTCCTGATCGGTAATATATTCTATATCATTTTCTTTTAGTGTTGGTAAGCATTCTTTTTTTGGTATGATATTGTTGTATCTTTTTATCATTTTCCAAATTTCTGAAGTCGGAGTGAATCTATTAAGCCTGGAGCAGTATTTGTTCCAATGTTGTCTTTTTGCTTCTCTTATTGTCTTCTGTGCAAGGGCTTTCTTATTTAGGTATTCGTAGAGATAATCTTTCGTCATGTATTTGATGGCTTTATTTTTGGCTTTGTTTCGTTCTTTAATTCTCTTTTGGCAGTCTTCATTCCACCATGGATTGTGTGGTTTATGTTTTTTTTGTTATTGTTGGTATGGTTTCCTTCATAATTTTCTTTGTGACATTTATGAATTCGTTGTAGTATTCTTCTGTGTTTTCATTTGGAGTTATATTGGATAGTTCTGTGTCGCATAATTGTTCAAATGCTTTCCAGTCTGCTTTTTTGTAACTAAGATATGGTTCGTTTCGTTTTGTATATTCTCTTTCATGTATTTCTTCTACAGGATGTAGATTGATTTGTATTTCTATAGGGAAGTGATCACTTCCTAACTTATCTTGCTTTACATTCCACTGACATCTATTAGCTATGGAGGGTGTTGCTAAGCTTAGGTCTAGACAGGATAATTTTCCCGTATGGTGATCCATTCTCGTACCTGATCCATCGTTTAGTATTATAATATTTTTATTTTCAATAAATTCTTCTATGATGCGGCCATTTACATCGGTAGTGTTACTGCCCCATAATGAGTTGTGGCTGTTAAAGTCTCCTAGGATTAGCAGGTACTTTGGGGTAGCATATTCTGGAATGATGGCCTTAAGGGTATCTATGTCTAATCGCTGACATGGATTGTAATAATTTACTACTGTCATGCAGGAAGTTTTGAGGTGCAGTTGAATAGTTTGCAATTCGAAGGTATTATGGAGTGTTATATTTTTGAAATATACAGAGTTGTGTACGTAAATGGCGCATCCGCCTCTCACTCCGGTTTTTCTGTTGCGTGGTATACATGTATAATTTGGTATTTGTAATATATTATTTTCTGTAAACCACGTTTCTTGAATGCACAATATATGGTAAGGGTTATTCCTGCGTGACAGTAGCAATTGAACTAGTTCGTCCCCGTGCCCCCCTTGGAGACCTTGGGCATTCCATTGTAGTATGGATAGTGCCGCCATGAAAAGGAGAATTTTAATTATGTTCTCCATGGTGTTTCATTATTTCTAGCTCTTCAGGTAATATATTGAGACATGTCTGGGCTTCTGCGAGAAATTTGTTCATCTTTTGTGTTTGTGGGATGTCTTGTTGCATTATTTCTATGACGCGGAAAAGAAACATTAGGAGATCCAGGGAGATGTGACTTCTCCCTGGGAGATCAGTGTTCTTGACTGTGGTAATGATGTTGGGTTTACCGTGACCACCGCTGTTGGAATGTTGAATTCTCCCCTGTTCTACAAATACGGAGGGGGTAATAAAACTTTCGCTTTGATTGTTTTCTATTTCAATGTGTTGTGTAGGGTCTGTATTTGGTCTGCTTTGTGTGGGAATTGTTTTACTCTTTGTTTCTTTCTTTTCTTTGTTTGTGGGTACTTTACTATTGCCGTTTGTGCTCGATTCCTTAGAGTTAGTTTTTTCCTCTACTTTTGTTGCCTCTTTGAAATGTTTCGTGGCTTCGGCATAACTTATTTTCTTTTCCAAGCGGATTTCTTGGACAATTCTTGCGTTTTTGGCTTCGATGCATCCTTTGAATGCTGCTGAGTGGTTTCCTTTGCAGTTAACACAAAAGGGATTAGATTTTCTGGGACATTGGTCGAAAGGGTGGTCTTCTCCACACCTGACGCATCTTTGCTTGCTATTGCATTGCGAAATTACATGTCCCATGCGTTGACATTTGAAACATCTGGGGACAGGGGGGATGAATTCTTTTACTTTAAATTCCTGATAGAATAGTATGATTTGTTTTGGTATCGTTTTACTTTCAAAGGATAGGATGACTGCTTTGGTGGGCATGTCGGTAGGGTTAGGGGTTTCGGTTGACGAACTGCTCTTGGTTTCAGGGTGGTTTTTCTTTATTTTCCTCGTGATTCTTTTAGCATTTGCGCATTTGTAGATTTTGAGCGCTTCAGTGATTTCTTCTTCTGTAATATCTGGATGAACTCCTGTTATTACTCCTTTTACTGTTTTTGATCGTTCTTTTACCTTAACTGGGATACCGCCTATTTCCGATATGTTTGAGATTGCCTTATGTTGTTTTATGTTCTGACATTTGATCAATAAACCGTTTTGGATTCTTTTAACAAATTCTATTTTGGTGGGTCCTGCACATTTCTCTATTTCTTTTGCTATTTTTATGGGGTTCACGTGTCCTAGGTTTTTTGTTGATTCAATTGGGATGAGTAGTACTTTTAGTTCATCTTGGGTTGTGGAAGATTGATGTGGGTCGGGTCGGGCTTCTTGAAATATGGGGCTATCGCTATCCGACCCCGACTGTGCCTTTAAACTTTCTATACTGTGGCTGTCTTCTCGTGGCCGAGCTCTCCTAGGGTGTTTCTTTGCATTTTTCTTTTCTACGGGGATGAAGCTATTATTGTATGCCTCCTCTTCTGTGTCACCTTCTATCTCTGATGAGAAATATCTTATGGGGTTAAGGGGGTTGTAGGCCGCCATATCAGGCGGCCTTCAGGAATGGGTGTTAATTGCTTCCAAGTTAGTTATTTTGGTTAATGTAGCATACAGTGCAGTGCAGAAAAATGCCCGAAAATATTGCTTACCTCTTGCTGGCAATCCCAATACACAAAAACAATTCAAATACTATACGGAGTTAGGTCGGAAAAAGATAATTGGTTTCCTTTCACCGAGACCAATCGCTTGGTCACGTGATATATTTGGCGCCAAATACGAAATTGAGCGTGGTTTCCGACAATCAGAGAAACAATTTTGATATATTCCACAAATGAAATTCCGAAGAGTAGTAGTGGTGAATTCACAAAATGTATATTCCAAATAGACTGGGGCTGGCAATCCAAAAAGAAAATTGAGTAAATTTGGTGTCAGTTGAAGATTCAATTCAATTCGATCGAACACCGGAGCTCGGAGGAGGCACGTCCGTAGCAGACGCTCAGAGCACATCCAAGTCTTCTTCTTCTCTTTCTTCTCAGTCGTTTTCTTTACTGGCTTCTTCTAGTGTGTGTGTGTATTGGGTTTTTACGGACGTGTATCAATCAGATAAGATTATTTACGTCTGGGACCGACCTTTAAACGTCACCATCCGAAAGACGTGACTCAGTTTCGAACCTGCGTCCTCGGCTGAATCAGTTTGTAACTTCCACTTTTTAGCTGGATTACAGGCGCACGCCACAACGCCTAGTTGTGCGGCGTGCGGCGGTCCTTATAATGGCGTGAGTGCGGACTTGGGGGAAAGCACTGGGCCGGCGGGCTCGGCGGGTTGGCAGGCAACTGTCGGTGGTGGCGCTCGGTTGCGTGAATTGGCGGGAAACGAGTGGGCGGCGGCTATGCGGACGTCGTGTGGTTGGTGTCGGGGGAGTAGCGGGCGGTGTGTCGGCTGTTGAGTGGGTGTATCGATCGGCGGTGAGGACGGCTATTAGTGGTGTCGCTCTGTGTGTGTTGGTCGGCGGTTTCGGCGGGCAGGTCTCCGTGGATCAGGTGAGTAGCTTGGTGGCGTCGGCGTAAGTTCTAGCGAGGTGTGGGCGTGGGCGGTGCTTGTGTGGGTGAAGTGGCTAGTTGAGAACGTGTAGTGCTTGTTTGAGTAGGAGTGGTTGGGTGGATGCAGTTGGTGTCCGGGCTGACGGATGGATGGATTGGTGAAGTGTTGGTGGTTGGCGTGCTGGTTGTGGAGTTGGTTGAAGATTGGTCGGAAGTAGAATGGTGAGGAAGGATTGGGTGCCAGATGCTGTTGATGTGAAGGCCTGGGTCTTGGGGTACGGTGTTGTGTTGGTGGATCTCGATGGCTTCTCGGACCCTCCGGGTGTTCCAATGTCGGATGGTGGTGATGAGGTGACTTTTATCCCAGTGAATGCGATGGAGCTCTTGTTGTGCGTGCTTGACGATGGCTGACTTGTCCCAGTCGCTGCGTCGGTGGTGGGTCTTGTGTTCTTTCAGTCGGGTGTCGAAATCGCGGCCGGTTTCTCCAATGTAGACTTTGCCGCAGTCGCAGGGAATCTTGTATACGCCTGGTTGTTTGTTGGATGGGTGCTTGTCCTTGTGAGAGTGAAGAGTGGAGTGAAGCTTGTGGCTGGATTGGTGTCTGACGAGGATGTTGGCTGAGCGGAGGATGCGTTGTAGTCGGTGTGATGTCTTGCCGATGTAGGGAAGTACGATGGTGGCGGTAGGCTTGATATCAGGTTGGGTTTCGGTGGTGATGTTGTTGGTCTTGTGGTAGGAAGTTCGGGTGTTGATTTTCCTTCTTGGGTACTGGTTGATGGAAGTGAGTGCGTGCGTGATGTGCTTGAGTTCTTGCTGGAGATGTGCTTTGTCACTGAGTTGGTGGGCTCGTCTGATGAGTGAGTTGGAGACTGATTGGTGGACTGATGGATGGTGGTGAGATCGGAAGTTGAGGTAGCGGTCTGTGTGGGTTGGTTTCCGGTATACTTGGTGCGCGGGGATTCCTGATGGTGGCTTGGTGATGAGTACGTCTAGGAAAGGGATTGAGTTTTCATGTTGGGTCTCCATGGTGAACTTAATGCTGGGATGTTGGATGTTGATGTGGTCGAGGAACTGGTGGAGGTCTGGTGTGCTGTGTGGCCAGATGACGAAGGTTTCGTCGACGTAACGTAGCCAGAGTGAAGGAGACTTGTCGGCGGACTTGAGTGATTGGTGCTCGAGGTGTTCCATGAAGATGTTGGCGATGATTGGTGAGAGTGGAGATCCCATGGCTGCTCCTTGAAGTTGTTTGTAGAAGTTGCTGGGCCACTTGAAGGAGCTTGAGTGGAGGCAGGTGAGAAGGAGGTCGTGGATCTGGTCAGGTGTGAGCTTGGTCCTAGATTTGAGGTCTGGGTCTGAGTTGAGGCGTTATTTGATGATGTCGCATGCTTGGTCTACAGGAACGCTGGTGAATAGAGAGGTGACATCGAAGCTGACGAGCGTGTCGGATGGCTGGATCTGTACCAAGGTAGTAGTAGTAGTAGTAGTAGTAGTAGTGATGGTGGTAGTATAGAAGTAGTAGTAGTAGTAGTAGTAGTAGTAGTAGAAGTACTAGTAGTAGTACTAGTAGTAGTACTAGTAGTAGTGTAGGAGTAGACTTTAATGGATAACTTGGTTAGCATAAGGCTAATCTTCACAGTGTTCAGAAGGCTCATTTACAAACTAACATGGCTAAAGTGACTAGTAATTGCAATTCAAGAAACCTGTGGCATTATTTTAAAAAACTGTAAGAGCGAGAGATATAAATGTAATAGGTCAGGAAAGGAGCGAACAGAAAAGGAAGGACTATGTGTATGAACATTTAACGATAGCCTTGCCTCTCCTCATTCCAGAGCTGTGCACAGTACTGGCCTGATGCTAACTCGGTTCAGTTTGGATCCTATTCAGTTTCAACCTTATCAACGTCATCTGATGGGGACATGACCATTCGGCAACTGAAAGTTACCAGAAACTCCAAAGTATGTCTTATTTCATATATTTCCTTTACGACACAGTGATTGTTGAAGAAGAGACTGTGAATTTAGATGTGATGCCCTCATTTGAAATGATAGTTTTTTACGGATCAAGAAATCTAATATTTTTAGCGAACCGCATTATGAATTTCAACCAGAACAGTTATCCCAACCGGGCGAACTGCGACTTGATGAATATCTAGCTTTTGTCAAATATGATGGCAGTTGAAAAGCAATAATTTTTGGTAGAACGCAAAGATAAGATGCAAAACTGTGAGCAATTCAAATATGCCTTATACATCCATTTCCACGGATCGTTTTGTTTCGTTTTCTTTTAGACCAGTCACACCGTCACTCAGTACCAGTTCCATGGATGGCCTAAACATGGATCAGATCAACAACCAGGGGCTAGGTCGTTGATGAAGCTCATCCGTGCTGTCAAAAGTTCCACTAACAAAATGAATGAATTCTCCATTCTTGTCCATTGTTTGTAAGTCTAGGATCTTTTCAATGCTTACTTATCCTGAACATTCGCAATTGGAAGTCCATGGAAGCAGGATCGGTCCATAAATACAACAGCAAAAATTAGCTGTATTTTTTGGAAACCAAGGCAATGATTTAAACACCTTAGAACTCATATAAACTGTTAAAGGTAAGGAACAGTATTGGAAACGCCCCAATTTCAAAAAATGAAAGCTCTTATTACCACTCATGTGAAAGAATATGTTTTGAATAATACATGATGATACAAAAATTTCCGGGAAACATTTGGTAAATTAGTTTATCTAAAAACGCACGTGTCGCGCAGGGCTTGCTAGCAGCAGTTAATGTATGCAAAGTGGATTCCATCTTTAGAGATACTATTATATAAATCAGGTTTATTAAATAGTAAGTAACCAGGGGTTCTAAAAAAAAAACATGCAGAAATTGAAATGCTTTAAAATCAAGGGATATCCAGTTGCGAGAAATGTATTACTATAAACGAAATTTATTTGATTGAAATCTTTAAATTTCGCCCAATAGTCTAATGCTTATTGTACCTTGATTATTGTACTTTTAACATATTTACATTTTGTTTAACATTAAAGGAGTGGTGCTGGGCGAACAGGTGTGTTTTGCACTGCTATGGAGTGTATCGCTCAGATAGCTGAGGGAGATTCCGTCGATATTTTCCAGACAGTCAAGATACTGCGAGCTGACAGGATGCAGTTCGTCCAAACTGAGGTATGCAAAATTATTTGTAATTTTATCACACAGGTCAAATTACTCCCTGTAATAATAAATAAGAAACATGAACTATGATGAAATATCAATTGTAATTACAACATTTAAATAGTATTTCCTTGTTGTGCTATGGTATGGAGTGGTAGAAGTTAAATCGAAATAGATAGTTGAAATACTTTGCTCGGAGTCAAATCTATGACTGTTTTTTCTTCTATTTTACGTGTGAGGAATATAGCCTCTAAAGAACGTATTTTAGTTCGAAAACATATTCGTTTATTTTCCTCATTTCACAGTATCATCTTTATTCTATTTTTTAAATCGTGATCTTCATTTCTCTTCCCTGTTTGCCAACGAATATCAAGTAGTTAACAAATAGAACCTCCTCATACAATTTTTTTATAGGAGGAATATGCTTTCGTCTACGATGTCATCCGTGAATACCTGCAAACTGAAAACTATGAGCAGCTTCCATACCCGATAGAGGACCACACGTATGGCAATGTAGAAATCGACTACACACTTGACCCGGAAGAGAACCCGTATGAGGTCACAGATCCGCAGGATGCAGGCGCCACCGCATTCCTGTATGGCAACGTAGAGACTGAGAGGAGCCAGGACAGGCCGAAGCCAGAGCCTCAACAACCCTACTCTGTATACGAGAACGTTGCATTTGATTCTTAAATTCATATATTTTTTCGTTGTTTGAATGGTGGTCTGTATACGAGAACTTTGCATTTGATTCTTAAATTCATATAGTTTTTCGTTGTTTGAATGGTGGTCTGTATACGAGAACTTTGCATTTGATTCTTAAATTCATATAGCATTGCGTTGGTTGAATGATGGTCGTGAAATCTATGGACGAAACTGTATTTGTAGATATTTTTGGTTGTGAAGTATTTTTGTTTTAACCTTAGAAAATAAAGTGGAACTACGGAAAATTTATTGTGGAGGTGTCGTAGTATACTTGGTTCATTCACTTGATTTTCAATCCAAGGCCGGTTAGGGTTCGAATCTCAGCCCGGCACTAACATCATATGGCAAGCCATTAATACACATCTGTACAGGTCCATTGTTTTTGGTTATCGAGTGAATGTTCTTTAAGCTTATGAAGTACATAGTTATGATGTATTAAGATGTCTTAAAGGTAATACACAGTTTTGGTATGGGGTCATGAATTTGGTTCAAATGAACATATTGGGAGCATATGCGATCTTAAATAATTCAGTGATCGTTGTCGCCGTTGAAATCGAGTCTAAAGTTATAAAATTGTAAATAATACACTCTTTATGTTGTATAGCTCCCTCTCAAGGTCAAGATATTAATTTAGTTATAAAACAATGTTTCTTGACTGAAATCGACTGATTTAATAGCTATTCCCGTTTTGAAATATATCACAACTATATATTCTGAGATTTTCACGGTCGCAGCTACCATTGTACGGCCGTAGGCGCTATTTAAAATTCATCAAAATTTACCGGGAGTACCGGTAAATTTTTATATTCAATTTTTCTCGAAAGCAGAAGTGTTTTAGGGGCTAAATTTTCTAGTGCTTATAATACATCCACAGGGGCATCCAAATATATCAAAATTGTAAGGAATCACTATCCACCAAATTTTCAAAATTTCCCAAAACTTTGTATTACCCTCAAAGTAGATATTCATCGATTTAAAAACTAACTTTATTTTCATTACTGCAAAGTTGAAACTTTGATTCGACAAGGTTATCAAAATTCAATTCTTGGAAACATTCGAAGTAATTATTATTATAAATTACAAAGCGCTTAAATACAGCCCCGGCATAGCACCTGAAGAGCTCTCCGAACGCTGCTGAGATGTGTGAGATCACAGGATGGACATGATTTGCGCAAGCAGACGATGTCCCATGACATCTTACACATTTTCAGTGCCTGTTTTTTCATCTTCTCTTGATATTTTTCTCTTACTTCACTACCGTCATGCTAAATATATAACTCATTGCCTCACTCTAAACCCCGCGCGTGGTTTTAGTTTGATGACAAATGCAGCGATACAAAAATAAAGGAATCTGTCGCTTGTAAGTTGTAAACAAAATAAGACGCCATTGTATATTCAGCTGCACACACCGCGTTATGTTCGTCGTTTCAAGAGGGAACAAATGCCGCCCTTAATATCATTCCGGGGGGGGGGGGGGGTTTCAATTTGAAAGTCTGGTTTCCTTGATTGTTAATTAACCCCCATCCTGTGTATTTACAAACAAAAGAGTTGAGTTATCAGAATCGGTTCCCTTTTGAATGGTTTGAAATGCCATCCCATTTATATACACTAAACTCATTATAATTTGAGAAATAATAGCTGTCGTCTGCTTGGGCAGTATTGATCCATTATGTGACGTCATTAAAACATTGTTATTTTTCTGGCGAATCTCTCGTATATCCCAGATTCTATGGAGGTGGTTGTATTTGTATTTTTTTTTAAAATAAATCACCCGATATGTAGTTGACCTAAGACTTGTACGATGGCCATCTGTTAGCTTACCAGTTTCTAGTGATACATTATTTGACATATTTGTGATTTTCTTTGAATTTCCAATTTAAGGTCTGTTATTCACGTCTGGAGTATGAACCCTTTTGGTTAATAAAATGATTGCTCTTAACCTATTAACCATTGGTGAATAGCGAGTTGTATCAAATATTTTGTAACCAAAAACTGTAAACTGTCAAATTATCTAACCTTGGATCATTGTTTCGTCTTTGTATATCATGTCTGTCTGGTATGTATGGCTTTGTTTGTTTATACGAAAATTATTGAATATCAGTACTTTCCAAATATAGGTTGTATTACCACCATTGTGTTGTCAGTTGACTCATGTAAACCTGCAATATTTAGGTTCTTTCGTTGAATTAATGAACGTGAATTTGAAGTCTATAATGGTGTTTGTTGCAGAAAATGATGATATATATATGTACAAATTAACATTTTTTCTATTTTATTGCACTTTTCTATTTTTGAATTTATATTGAAATATATTTTTCAAAGGGTGCAGGTTTGGTAACGAATTCATACGACGGAGTGATTTATTGTAAATAAAGAGCAAATTCAATTACTATTTACATTAACACACCACAATAAAGGCTGACAGTTCTTTCTAAATGCTGCAAGTCAATGGTAGATGTATTTGAAAATGTTTAACGAATATGCTCAAAGTCACTATAGCCTTTTAAAACTGCATGCAAGTGAACTAAAAAAGTGTGCTTATTCTTTGCAATGTATAAATGTATAAAGTATAAATGATGTTAGATACATTTCTAGTAATGGTTGATTTCCATTTAAAGCAAGTAGTCTCGAATTCACACTTATCATGCTTGTAATTGTTCGAAATAAATGTATAACTTGTGCTTGTCACCAGTGGCGTAATGAACAAAAACGTTTGGGGGGGGGGGGGGCTGGCAAAAAAAAAAATCTGCATCACCCCACTCTAACATGCAGGCCCCGCTGAACGTTTTTCAAAGTGGGGTCTAGGGGCAAAGCCCCATCAGGGAGGGTCAGGGGGCGGAGCCCCCGAAGCTCAGTGGGTATGGGCACCAGTGGTAGATCCAGGAGTTTCTTACGGGGGTGGCATGGGGTGAAATATATGTAAAACCTGATGAAGCGACAGAGCGAGGCTTTAGCGGCGAGGGGAACGACCAAGCGGGGGTAGGTCTGGGTAGGAAGTAGGAAGCATTTGCAATTTTTGAACCACATTAGACGCCTTTTCAGGCACTTCCTGGAGTAATATGACATAAAATTGCTTTCTCCTACCCCCTCCAAGAGTAGGAATCTTTTACAACGTGAGAACCACATTTTGCGCAATAATAGTCCACCGGCACTTCCTGGAAATGAGACGTTGTATTAGGTTCGTTGCCGCACAATGCACAAAGACGGTGGTCCGGTACCAGTTGTACTAAAAATGATATCGAGTGTATAAACTGTGTTGTTATGAGGGGCGTTGCTAGATCTTTTTCAGTGGGGGAGGGGGGAGAAGCCACCGATTACCTTCAAAACGAGCCACCAATTACCGACAAATATATTAATGCCAATGTCCCAATGTCTACAAATTTAACCCTGTAAACCTGGGGCCAGGAACTAAGTTATTTTTTCAGTTTTCCCCATCCCGCGCGCGGAAGGTTTGATACTTCATTAAATTATTAGAAAAAGAATACGATCCGTTGTATAGTTCTAGACTTTTTATTCTTGTTTCGCCCCTCCCGCGCGAAGCGCGGAAGCTATGACGTTTCATTTATTTATTAGAGAAAGAAGACGATTCATTGTACCGTTCTCGACTCTTAATCCTTGCCTGAATTCATTTTCGCCCATCCCGCGCTTAGCGCGGAAGCTTTGACATTTCATTAGATTATTAGAGAAAGAAGACGATTCTTTAAATGATTTTTTTACTCTTTATCTTTGTCTGAATTCAGTTTTCCCCACCCCCCCCCCCCCCCCCTCCCGCGCGAAGCGCGGAAGCTTTCGGTGTTTCATTAAATTATAAGAGAATGAAGACGATTTGTGGTACTCACATTTCATTAAATTATTTGGAAAAAATACGATGCGATTCCTTAAATTTTTACTCTTAATCCTTGTCTGAATAGAGTTTCCCCCTCCCGCGCGTAGCACGGAAGCTTTGTAGTGTCATTAAATTATTAGGGAAAGAAGACGATTCGTTGTATTGTTTTCGACACTTAATCCTTGTCTGAATTCAGTTTTCGCCCTCCCGCGCCAAGCGCGAGAGCTTTGAAGTTTAATTAAATTATTAGAGAAAGAAGACGATTCGTTGTACTGATTTCTACTCACTTTGTCTGAATTCAGTTTCCCTCCCTCCCGCGCGATGCGCGGAAGCTTTGACGTTTCATTAAATTATCAGAAATATTGCCTGAATTAATTTTTTCTTTTCTTTGTCCGATAAAAAGTCACAGTTTGTAGGGAGAAAAAAAATTGCCGGCCGACCGACATTAAACATCTCACCGACTTTAAACTTCTAAATTGATATAGTACACGAGCTAGAAAGAGCAATAATACCGACACAGCGGACCCGACACAGCAACATAATTATCTATGCGTATCTTTCTTGCCCCTTCGACGTGGCGACTCCACCCAACAATCCCTTTGCTCTCTTACTCTCACCCATCTTCTCTTAGGCTCTTAATACCACCCTCTCTCTCTCTCTCTCTCTCCTCTCTTTCGTTTGTCTTGTTTTGTTTTGTTTGTTTTCTTATGTTTCCTTTTTCTCCTTTTTTTTCTTTCTCCTTTTTTTTTCTTTCTCCTTTTCTTTCTTTTCTTTCTTTTCCTTTCTTTCCTCTCCTTCCTCTTTTTTTTCTCCTTCTTTCTTCTCTTCTCTTTCTTTACTTGGTCATGGCTCAATTTTATCTGGGGGGGGGGGGGCTGGCGCCCCCAAGCCCCCACACCAGTACGCCAGTGCTTGTCACACTCTTTATATCCCCCTCTGTATCATCAAGTGCATAATAACCACAAAATATTAAAAATGCAGACAAAAAAATTGTTTCGTTTTCATTTTCATTTTATGTTGTTTATTCGATTAATATTCGACAGCACATAATACCCCAAAAAAATCAAGGTTAAAAAATTGAGATATAAACTAAATTCTAAAAATTGATACAAATAAACGGAGTAAAACGCTCAGGGAGACAAGCGAACATACCAGTGATAGTTGTGCAATTAAATGAATTAAACAAATTCAATCTTCATATACAGTAGGTTTGCGGGTGCACCATGTAAGAGAGAGAGAGAGAGAGAGAGAGAGGGTTGAGGAGTCCTGAAAAAGACTCTGACTCGGTAATCTTTCTTGGGGATGTGTAGTCCTGAAAAGGAATGTTTGTTATCTTTCTTAGCATATAGTTCTAAGGAGAACTATAGCGCTTGGAGAGGATGAGTGGTTCGACGTTTCGAACAGGTTGACTATCCGTCGTCGAGAGTAAGCCGACACTTACAAGCAGCATATAAATTCAATCTTGTTTTATAAACAAAATAAATCATAAGATATATATATATATATATATATATATATATATATATATATATATATATATATATATATATATTTATTCATTTGTAGAATCTGTTATCATGTATCGGGGATGTGTAGGAGCTGCTCAAAATAGAAATTACACAATTGCCATATTTATAGAATAAATGTATTTCCGTTCATATATTTTGCACATATTTCACAACCATAATCATGAGACTGTGAATAAGAATAAATAATGATAACGACCAAAATAAAATTGTAACAAATCCATCGCAATAATGTTAATAGACTTAATTGA